CTGTTATATATATATATATATAATATTTAAAAAGGCATACCAGATCCTAATAAAACAAGTGTTTTTTTGTTTTGTTTTGTTTTACCCTGTATCAAGGTCATTACAAAGAATAAACAGACTAGGTTAGGAGAACTGTAAAGATGAGTAGTGGGGAAGGGGGAGCTAACGCTGTTAGATATTACAACATGTATCTAATAGAAATGACAAGGCTGGAACAATGGGCTCAAACATGCCAGTGACTGTGAGGATGGTACAGAAGCAGGAGCAACGTTGTGTTGTCAGATATAAAGTCTCCATGAGTTGCAGCGACTTGGTGACAGCTAACAACAAGAGCAAATCAACTGAAGAGACAGTTAAGAATTTTTGAACATTTAGCATACCATTAGTAGAGGAAAGAAGACTTTAAAACGATGTTGGAACAAGAGCAGTTAACCACGTGGAAAATAATACTGAATCTACTTCTCACACTGTACACAAGGAGCAAATCCAAATGGATCAAAGACCAGATTGCAAAGATGAAGTCTTCTAAATACTAGAAGAAAGCGGGTGAGTATTTTTCATAATCAGAGAGGGAGTTTCGTATGACTAAGAATCCAGAAGCAGTAAGAGCAAAAACTTCATGTCTTTGAGTGAAAATAAAGAGTTTTGAAGTGCAGGAAAAAAAACATCCAAGGATAAACTAGAGACTGGAAAATATATTTGAAATTTTTATCAGTAAGGACTGATACAGCCCTAATGTACCGAGGTAAGCAAAGTTGCTATAAAATCATAGAAACATTTATTAAACAAAAATAGCAAAATGTGGAAGTATTGTTTCTTGACATACCTTCCATCTAGGTCTATAAATTTCTGAAGGTGCTGTTTCCAGCTCTCCTGCATACTTTGATTAACACCACATCAAAACATCAGTTTTTGTATCCTTCAGGGACTCAAATCATACTCCTTTTCAATGTTGAGAATGGAGAACAGATAAAATATGAAGAGGCAAGATCAGGGTGGTAGAGTGTGGATGGGGTCAGGTTTTCCCGTGAAATTCTCATAGGACAGCCCTTACTGTGCTCAAAGAATGAACCAGATTCATTATGATGGGGCGGGGAAATGGCTTGGTGCAACACTAGTACAGTTTTCAATTTTCTTAAAACTTTGTAAGAAGCCCTTGTGATTGTCCTATGTCCTTCAAGAACATCTGTCAAAATTACCCTTTTGGAATCCCAAAACAGATTCACCATAATCTTCTGAGTTGACCTATCTGCCTTGAATTAATTGGCCCAGTAGATCCCCTTGGAAGCCACTGTTATTGGATCTTTTTTTTTTTTTAATAAAAAACTTAATGAGACCAATGCAATGTATTACTAAAAGAAGTTGTGTGCACACTTTTACCAATCACAGAGAAATGTGTAAACATGCTTTATTTGGAGTAAACCCACGCATGTAGAAAGTGGGACCCTCTTAGCAATACATTTTAACTTACCCTTGTATAAAGAATTTCTGAAATTTGAGAAGACCCTGAGAGAAGAATATGCAAAAACGTATGAATAGATAGTTCACAGAAACAAAATGCAGATGACCCTTAAAAATATATGAGGAGTAAAGAGAACTGCAAATGAAAGCTGCTCAGATACCATTTCTTACATGTGAGATTGGGAAAAATCCAAGTTTGATAAGGCAGTCTGTAAATTGCGAAATAGACGCTCAAAAGTACAAACCCTGATAAATGGAATTTATCAATAGCAACCAAAATTAACTATGCATTCTTGAACCTCATTGTCCCACTTTTTAATATTCAATTGTGTCTAAACGTAGTGGTTAAGGAGCTCTGGTAGCATAGTGGTTACAAATTGGGCTGCGAACCGCAAAGTCAGCAGTTCAAAACTACCAGTTGCCCCATGGGAGAAAGATGAGGCTTTCTGCTCCCATAAAGATTTACAGCCTCGGAAACCCTGTAAAGGGTCACT